TTTATTTATTTTTTTTTGAGTTGGGGGGGTCTTGCTCCGCTTCAGCAAGCTTGCTCGCCTTCGCTTTGATAAGACCCCCCTTTGAATTACTGTTATGCATCTTTATTCTTCTTAATATAAAAGATTTTTATTAAAAATAAAGAAAAAAATGAGATCCCCCCTTCCTTTTCATCCTCCTCATAACCCCCCTCCTCTTAAGGAGGCTTACGACTCCTTGTGTTCAGGAGGCTTACGCCTCTTGCGTTTTGAATTACGCCTCATGCCTCTAGGTAGTGGAACGCCTCGCGTCATGCCTCCGCGTTTTAAAACACTGCCTAGGAATGCGCCTGATATGCCTTGTGCCTCAGCCCAGGCATGCGTCTTTTGAAAATTCCACTTTTTTTTTGCTTTTTTTGAACCTAGCAGTTGGGTCGGGGGCTCCAAGAACCCCCTATTTGTTTATTCATTCATTCTAATAAAATGTCTTCTTAAAAATCAATTAAAATTATAAAATCATTATTTTTGTGTGAGAACTAAGAATTTAAGACCCTAACATGGACTTGTTTGGGCTTGCCTCGAGGAGTGTGGCACAAAGGGGGCTTGTAGGATCTGGAATGTAATATGTTTTACATCACATTAGCTACTTTAAGTAATGCAATTGAGGAAAAAAAGAGATTGTGGGTTTTACATGCTTGAAAATGTTTTATATGTTTGATTTTATTTTTAAATTTTCATTTGAATACGCTTTACATGTTATGTTTGTGTAATTTAATTTTAGGTAATAGGTTTTTCAAAGCATTTATTTTAAAATTTAAGTTTATATTTTTTATTAATATTATGTTTAATATTTTTTTATTTTTTGAATTTTCTGACATTATTTTTTATTTTTTATTTTTTTTTGTATTTTTGCGCCTTGCTTCAAAAAGGCACGTGCCTCGCCTTGCACTGAGACGCAAATTGGCCCCTGTACCTTTTTTGCGCCTTGTGCTTTTAAAACACTGGTATGTTTATATGTGCCTGAATGTATTGTTTTTTCAATTCAGGATTGCAGAGGCCTCAACAACTATCAAAATGTCTCGAAAAGGGTTAATGGAACAAGATTTGAGCAAGCTTGATGTGACTAAACTGCATCCACTCTCACCTGAAGTAATTTCTCGTCAAGCTACAATAAATATTGGTAATCCCAACAACCGTAAAAATTTCATTTGAGCTTTTCATCTATTTCTTAGAATTTCTGCTTGTTGATTTAATATCCCTATAATTTCATATGGATCCTATAGCCATCAAGATGATGTATTAAACAGGATTCCTATTTCTATTTTTGATATTGATGCATCTCTACTTTTAATATATTTCCTCAGGCACCATTGGGCATGTGGCCCATGGAAAGTCAACAGTCGTAAAAGCAATATCTGGTGTTCAGGTGAGTCTATTTCTTTTTGATAGTAAATGAACATTCATTAAGATAAAACAAAGAGAATAAAATAAGTGTTTTCCTTATTTATTTTGTTTTTTCTTGTTCACATCCTTTTGTATTTGTTTTAATATTCATTCATGTACTGAACAATTGCCTTATCTAGAATGTAAAATGAAGTAGTCTACAAGGAAATTATCTGTAAAAGCCCAACTAAGAAGCAAATGTAAGCCAGAAAAGTAGCGCAAGATGTAGTGATTTATAGGCAATGAGTCCCTGCAGTAGTAAAAATTCCTCTACCCATTCTAGACTTGGTGACATAGTCTTAAATTTTATTGTAGACATTGGCACTTTGTTGGAAGCTTGTTGAATTTATAAATGTAACAAGAGATTTAACAAACATAATATATGCATACAATCATACAAATTAACAAATGATGGCATTTGGTACCTATATTGTGTATAACAAATCCTATAAAATAGGAAAAATAGACTGGACAATATGTTTGAGTGCTATATTTTAGCACAATCAAGTCAGATAACTTTTATTTATTTTTGATAAGTAGGGTGCTAGTTGATTTAAAAGGATGAGGTATTTTACTTGTATAATATATCTGAGGGAATTCTAATTAATTCAATTATAGAAAGTAGATATTAAATATATTATAGAATTAAGAAATTAAGAAAAGGAAATCCAATAAATTGGCAGCATCTGGTGGATTACGTGGGTTTAACAGGTTACAGGTAGATGAGTATTTTTCTGTTTGTGGCAATTTGTGCAACTGTAGGAATATAGAATGCAACCAAAGTTTGTGGAGTTCTTGTGGTCTAGCCTAATTTCACCTAAAATAAAGATTTTTCATTGAGGCTGTGAATCAAGTCATAAATACTTGCAAGAGATTCCAAAGGAAGTGGGAGAATTGGTTTTATTCACCCCATGTGTGTCGTATGCTGGAAAAATGGGGAAGGTGCCAACCGACTTCTTTTGCACTGTTCCTATGCTTCTTGGGTATGGCAACATTTTTTGTCCTTGGTTGGGCATTGGGGAAGTGTGGATTGCACTCTCTGATGTTGAGGACCCCTTTAGATCAACTATAATAAGATGCTCAACACCATGACAGAAAATTTTGTGGCATTGTGTGAGGAGCAACTTTATATGGGGATTATGGGGGGAAAGGAATGCTAGAATTTTTAAAGAGAAATACAAACAGGTGGAGGAATTGAATGAATTCACAATGATAAGAACTGCGCATTGTGCAATGATTTGCAAAGAATTTAATGGAGTGAATCTCAATGACCTATTGAGGTAGTGGAATATAGAGTTTGGGTTTTCATAGCAGTGTGCCTCAAAGGGTTGTGGAGTGGTTCCCACCAGGGGAAGGAAGATATATACTTAACTTTGATGGGTGCTGCTTTGGAAATCCTGGGGAATCTGGAGTGATTAGGGATTCTAATGGTAATATAATTCTCAGTTATTCAGGGCCAGCTGGATTTGGGAGTTGTCTAAGTGCGGAAAAATTGATGATTCATCAAAAAAAGTGCAGAATTGATGGCCTTTCTTCAAGGTCTAAAACTGTTATTGCAGCAGGGATTAAGGAATGTAGAAGTGGAGGGGGACTGTGAAATAATCATATATTATGGATGAAATCTCTGGACCAGATTCCTTGGCAGTTTAGGCATATGGTGAGGTTGGCTCATTCCTTAGGTGCCAGATTGAACACCTCATTCAACTGGGTCCCTAGGAGTGCTAATTTGCTAGCTGACTTGTTGGCAGGAAATGGGGTAGGGAGAGTTTGTTTGGATTGGGTCTGTCTAGGACCAGGCTGTAATTTCTAAGATCGTTCTGTTCTTTCTTGTGGGTTTATGTGAAGGAAGCTGTTGTAATTACACTATTACAGGTCAGCTTCTTTGTTTTGAGCAGTTTGGTGATCTTATTTAATGGAATATTTTCTGTTGCTTATAAAATAGTTTGTGGAGTTCTCTTCTAATGAATAATGAGCATGTACTGAAGATATTCCAGTTAAAAACGGCAAAACATGGAGACCATGGGGTTGCTTACATGCCCGAATATTATAAAGCTTCTTACTCCCAATGTTTAGGTGAAGCAAGTTATAAATAAAATTATTTTCTAATTATTCATATAAAAGAACCTAACTTATGGGGAGGGGAGCAAATAACGGTTAAATAATATTATATCATTTGGCACACTCTCCAATTTGGAGGTATGAGATCAAACCTGTGGAACTACAGGATCTCACTGGTATGGCCAGTGGGCCTCACATCTACCCTGCTCAAAAAAAATATATATATAATTCGTTAATTTTAGATAAATAACCATTTGGTGGTAGCATGACTTACAGGTTTGAATTATCCTTCATCTTAAGGAGGACTAAGTTTAAGTGATGCATCTTCCATTACAAATTAATTGTGTTTATAGTTTACCCATTTGCTTGGTTATGGCAAGATACAGCAACCTAGAATTTTGTCCTGTCTCCACTAATTGAATGGTTTGTTTATGATGCTGCGTATGTAAACCTTAAAATAGGCTCTTATGGTTCCTTCTTTGTCATTTCAGACTGTTCGTTTTAAAAATGAGTTGGAGCGTAACATTACAATCAAGCTTGGATATGCTAATGCAAAGATATATAAATGTGAAGATGAAAAATGCCCTCGGCCCATGTGCTACAAGTATGGTGATATCCAAGAAAATGATTTCTGTGCCATCTAGGACCTTTCATGATTTTCTATTCAAAATGATTTTGCAGGGCCTATGGAAGTGGAAAAGAAGATAATCCTCTCTGTGATGTGCCAGGCTTTGAAAATGCACGGATGAAATTGTTGAGACATGTTTCATTTGTAGATTGCCCGGTAAGGATAGACATTTAGACATCTCCCTTATATCTAGTATCATGTTTAGAAGAATGATAGTAGGTGGAAGGTTCTTTTCTAGTCCATAAGTAATTTGATTATTGTTGCTGATTATAAAAAAGGCTTTCTTGCAGAAGTTATTATTTGAATTTATAAATGGCATCTTTTCTGGTTTCATCGTTTTTTTATGGATTTCCTTATGACAATGTTCATCTTATATGTTATATTTCTAATTTTTGTTTTCTTTTTCTCAATTTCTGATCTGTTGCATCACATTTTGTTTCCTCACTCTGTAACAGGGTCATGATATTCTCATGGCTACAATGCTTAATGGAGCGGCAATTATGGATGGGGCATTACTTTTGATAGCTGCGAATGAAAGCTGTCCCCAGCCTCAGACTTCTGAGCATTTGGCTGCTGTGGAGATTATGCGCCTGCAACATATAATTATTCTACAAAATAAAGTTGATCTCATTCAAGAAAATGTTGCAATCAACCAGCATGAAGCAATCCAGAAATTTATTCAGGTATCCTGGAGCATTATCTAATGCAAGGGTATATGTTGGTTTGCCATCACCATTTTGTGGAAGTTGAACTAAAATATTTTACGGCTTTTCTTTTTCAGAAAACTGTTGCTGATGGTGCACCAGTCATTCCAATTTCTGCTCAGTTAAAATATAATATTGATGTTGTCTGTGAATACATTGTGAAAAAGATCCCCATCCCAGAGAGGAATTTTGTCTCACCACCAAATATGATAGTAATCCGATCTTTTGATGTGAATAAGCCTGGGTCTGAGGTTGATGAGATAAAGGGTGGAGTTGCTGGTGGAAGCATTCTTAGGGTATGTTTCTTTTTTACGTTTCAAGAATGGAAGTGAAGGTGCATTCTTGTACATATTTTGCACCTGCAAACAATTGGATGGTAGACCGTCAGGAGATATGCTGGACAAACAGTTTGTCTATTGGTTCAATGTTTGACCAAAACAGAACCTAGTTTCTAACTTAGTATATTTCCCGTCAATATTTCCCTCAAGGGTGTCAAGTTTTAGATTTTCCTAATTCTATTTCTATCAAGAAAGGATAATATGATGAATTATTGCAATCATCCATTGAGTTGGATGTTTGTTATATGAAATTTCTCTGACCTATGAAATATGGTTCTGAGTTCTGACCTACATGTTTGCTGTGCATTAGATTTTGGGTGCTTCTACAGAGCAGATTATATGACAAAAACTGCTACCTTTTGGAAACTAATATTTGTAGGGATCACATATTGCTTACATACCAAAGTTGAGCAAATTTGCCATGTGCAGGGTGTTTTGAAGGTGAATCAGTTCATTGAAGTTCGCCCTGGAATTGTTGTAAAAGATGAGAGTGGTAACATCAGGTGTACTCCAATATATTCAAGAATAGTTTCATTATACGCCGAGCAAAATGAATTGCAGTTTGCCGTGCCCGGGGGGCTTATTGGGGTTGGTACCACCATGGATCCTACTTTGACACGTGCTGACAGGCTGGTGGGTCAGGTTCTTGGGGAGGTTGGATCACTCCCCGATGTTTTTGTGGAACTTGAGGTAAGTCTGATATGAAAAATGCCTTCTATGATTTAAACAGTGTCCAGCCTAGTTGTCATTCTAGTGCAAGAGTTGTTAACATGAATGTAGGCATGCCATGTAGCAGATGGTGGTATGACCGTATGACAAAATTGTGTCTCCTTTCTTGGGCTCTTTCCCAGTGGACCGCTTTGTCTGGCTCGTTTTATATTTGAATTATGAATACAGGGCAATTCATCATAGATGAGTCTGTTACATCCGTTAATCATAAAAAATATGGAATGGTTGTGCCTTGTACTCTTTAAAGCAGTTTGCTAAACATGCTAGTATTGAATGGTTTTGTTCTGCTTTCAGGTCAACTTCTTCCTGCTCCGCCGTCTTCTAGGAGTTAGAACAAAGGGAACAGAGAGGCAGGGCAAAGTATCAAAGCTAGCCAAGGGAGAGATTCTGATGCTGAACATAGGGTCCATGTCAACAGGGGCACGTGTAGTTGCTGTTAAGAATGACTTGGCTAAGCTACAGCTGACCTCTCCAGTGTGCACCAGCAAGGGTGAGAAGGTCGCACTCAGCCGGCGAGTTGAGAAGCACTGGCGACTCATTGGGTGGGGCCAGATTCAAGCAGGGACTACACTCGACGTTCCACCATCCCCCATCTGAGTAAACCCCACAAACACAAAGGAAAAACCAAGAAAGTCGGAACTCAGCAAGGTATAGTAGAGAGTCTTGGGAAGATGTGGGAGGGTAGGGAGCTACTGGGAACAATTTTTGTTAGGTGGAGAAGAAAACATGGTTGGTTCTTGTTCAGATTCGTTTGTCATATTGTTGTTTGACCAAACGAGTAAATTTTGGAGTTGTTTGGCTTCATCTATGCAAATTCATTTTCCTTGTGCAAACATATAGCATTTGGGAATGGCCTGTTTGGATTCCCATATGGGTTGCTTGATTGGAACTTGGAAGGGAGTCTATCCTTCGTAAGGCAATATTACCAATATAACCACCATGGGGAAGATTTAAAACAAGTGCTTCAAGGCTTCCTTATTTCTGTCTGATCCGGTATGATCTCCTGAGTAATTTGCTCGAATGGTTGTGTAAGAGAATAGACTTGCATACCGCCCTAGATCCAATTAAGTGAATTGGTTTGGTCCAGTTTAATAGTTAACCTAGGAGCATGTAATAGAAAGATTTCAGAAACATTTTATTAAGGAAAAAATAAATAGCTAACTCTTAAAAAACAAGGGAGACTCCTTTCAGTTTCAGTGCATTGGTCTGTTTCTCTCAGTTTCTCTCCTTTTCCTTATCTCAGATCATTGAAAATCTGTATAGAAGAACTATAGTGGCCTAATTCTTGGTTGGAGGGTACGAAGTGCAGCCTTTTTAGGAGTCTGGCTATTTCCATCTTCCCCAACCGCTTTTTCCTCAAATCTTCAGAGATTCGATTGGCTCAGCTTTGTCCATATTCCTACACATTAAACAGTGTATAATCTCAAATTTGAGATTTTCTTTCTTGGATTTTTAGTTTTTCTCTTGCAGTACATGGAGATCGATTTTCTTGAGCTAAGCCATCCTTTCCCTTGCATTAGTTGTGGCATCCAGAGGATGATGATTGATGAAGCAACTAAGATGGTAACTGCAACTCTTGTGCCTTGTCCATAAAGAAAGTGTTAAGAAACCATAATTTAGGTATATACGAACCATCAAGTTTCCGAAATGGCTAAAGCTGGGATCTGGGTCCCCCTCAAATGTGTCCTGCTTAAGGTATAATCCTACAAATTATGAGCAAATCTGATGATTAAAAGTCAAGTAATCTGCGTAAGCTGATCTAGTTGGTATGCATTCAATGGTAGCCCTGCTATGTCTCGGTTTAGGAGTGGGAACACAGAATTCAGTGTTGTAGTCTGAGGTTCTCATAACTTAACACAGTGGCATAGAGAGAGAGAGTTTCAACTTGGATACGTCTCATTCATGATCAGATGTCACTGGACCGTCTCATTCATGCCTCATTTTTTAGAGCTTAGAGAGAGTTTCAACTTTCACTAAAACTTTCTGACCATAGCCTAAGATATGGTTGTACGTAAAATGCTCTTGGTTTTGGTTGCATAACCAAGTGAGGAAACTAGTTTCTGAAGGTAGAAAAGTGTAAGCCTTAGAGATTTGAAGATCTTGGATCAATGGGCATTGTGTTTAACAACACCCTGATAGTATAAACCATATTAGAGCCTATATCAGTATTTGCTTGGTCAACAGCATTTTTCGGTGGTGAGATCCTGTTGGTGTTGGCCTTCATGTACTTACTTTGAGCTCTTAGCAAGTGAATCTCAGGTTATGCGTGCCTCTAAAAGCCCTCGCCCTTGAAGCGATGGTACAGTAGCTAGCTCTTTTCTGGATCTTCACAAAGAAACCAGGGATTTGAAGGTTGACACTCGTAATTTCAAATACCTATCTTTAAGTCCGACTGAGAGTCTGAGACACCACCCACTACCCAGGGAGCCGAGGAAAGTAAAACCCAAAGCGAATTCCAGGAAATGGCTATATAATCTGCAGGCCTCATGAAAATCCGCTTGATTGCTAAAGCAACCGAGTAGTGTTCACTTACAAGTGGTTTATTTCCTTTTGATTGGGTAAAAATTGCATTGCGGTAAAAAAATAGAAGGGGTATGAAGTTCCATATACAAAACTTATTTGGGATGTCTTGATCAATATGATGCATGAGCTTGTGGCTTATTGGCAGAGAGCTCAGACCACAAGGAAAAATATTTACATGAAGGTAACCATGCTAGACTCGTTTAAAAAACCAAATAAACACAAGGTAACCATGCTAGACTCGTTTAAAAAACCAAATAAACACAATTAACCCTTCTTGCTGCAGAAAAAGAATCCATAGTCCACATATCATCTGAAGCGTAGTACTCAACCAGATCTTAGATACGAGTAAGCATAGCTTTTCTGGCATTACCTGTAATAGGCAAGCATCAGTCATAAATTTAAAACATGTACTCTTGGATGCCACAAGAAAATATACAACATTCTAATGACTGGTTTTAGATCTCTTCACGAAGCACCCAGCTTTTGATAACACTCTGAGAATATGGAACTAACACTTTTTACAATAATCATGGTTCCCGGGAATCACCCCATAACAGTAGCTTGTTTGCATTTAAGTTATGTTCTTTTTAGCCTTCACAAAATGACAAAATGACTGCACCAAGAGAGTGAAGGTCATAAGCAGACAAAATAATGAAACTCACATTAAACAAAACTTTTCTTTGAAAAAGAAAATAAACAGAATGAAACTGCATCTCACTGTTTTTTTTTTTTTCAAAAAAGGCAGCTTCCATTACTAATATGATTTAAACTGCATCTCACTGTTTGAGAAACAATATAAGTAACAAGAAAATAGAAATGGATGGGAACAATGAAAAGGGAATTTTCTTACCTGTTTGAGGATGCTTCTCCCATCAATGAATTGGTATATCTAGAATATCCCTTCTGCGACTGCAAAGAAATAGATAACGAACACATTTAAGGGAAACATGAGAACAAAATGAAGGTTCAGTGAGACTCTATGCAATTCCAAATCAGACATCGTAAGTGCTTAAAAAATCAAAAGATTATGGAAGACAGAATAACGATGCAACTCCTTGCCTCAACCCAAGTTTTGTAAAAGGAACTCACAGAAGTATTGATAGTTGGACATGTAGTATATATTGGCATTCAGAATGATATACATATTTGTTCTTGACAATTAGAGCCTAAAAATGTTTAAATACGGTTTCCAAGGACTAGAAAATCTAGACACAATCATGGTTCACTCAAAACCTACTAGTTTCTTTTTTTTTTCCTATTTTTTCTTCTTTGATCAATGAAGCAGCAAACTGGATGTATCATATATAAAAAGAAGCTAAACGCATTTGCATGTAGTACCGAAAGGGAATATGCCATGCGCATGCGCAAGTAAAAAAGGGTAAAAAATGAAAAAAAAAACATTTAAATATTGAAAGTTTTTTTACTGTAATTTAAATGCCTCAATTCATTAATTGGATTTAAGGATTAAAATATCTGGACAACTAACATTTGTAAGTATTAATATTATATGATGCTATTAAAATATTCTGATCTGACTTTAATGGCCTGGACATGAAGCAATGCAAGTATTGGTATTATATAGTAAAGATGGATCTCTGTGTAAGTTTCTTGATGATTTTCAGCTATTTCAAATATTAAGTGTATTAAATGGCTACAACCCAAGAACCAACAAACGACTAAGTGGCAAGATTAAAGCTATTTATTTCTTAACTTGGGGCAAAAACATGACAAAATGCAGTCTGTATCAGAATTGTTTAAAAAAAATAACAGTGAAAAGACTTGGCAAATTGTTAGCTTCGTTTTTATTCACTTTTCTATATTTTCCATGATCTTATTGAAAGAACTATAATTCTTCATGTTTGAAGACAAATATGAGTTCAAGTGGTAATCATAGATTTGCAACTCATTCTTTAGCAGAAAATATGACCTCGGACAAAAAACAGGATTGTGTAACTGAACCTTTTTGGGTGCAGATGTGCAAAGCCTCATCTCTCCTTACTTTATTTGACCTTTAAAAAGAGGGAGAATTATGTTGAGATGTATCAAGGCTGCAGTCTGTTGGTCTATTTGGGAAGAAAGAAACTTACCTACCTTCTCAGAAAAGGAAAAGAACCATTGAGAATGTAATGGAGTTGATACACTTAAGGGTGACTCACTGGCTGAAATCCCTGAACCTATTCACAGTTTTCTCCTTGGATGACTTGCTGAGAAATTGGTTAGAGATAGATAATTCTGCCCAGATTAATAAGGTTTCTTTTCCCTCTTGGACCTCTCCCCCCCTGTCATAAAGCTGAATTTTGATGGCAGTAGTTTAAGGAAACCAGGGCACTCTGGTATAGGGGGAGTGTTCAGGAATGAGGAAGGGCTTATTATAACCATGTTCTCAGGCCCTATTGGAGGAGACTCTCTTAGGGCTGAGATCCTTGTGAATCTGGAAGGTGCCCACAGAGCAAGGGAGTTGAACCTAAGAAAATTGGTCAATGAAGGTGACTCAGAGGTGGTGGTGAGATGGCTAAAGGAAGATAACACTGGTATCTGGAACTACAGCAATGAAAAGAAAAAGTTTAAATGGCTGACTAGGGGCATTGAGGTGAAATACAGTTGGGTAAAGAGAACTGCTAATCACTTGCTGATGGGTTAGCCAAGCAAGGGGTCAATAGGGGATCTTTCTTCTGGGCTCATTTCTAATTTTGTATCATTTGTTTTGTGCTAGTGGGGGAGTTGAGAAAGTTTACCTCCCCCCTCTCTTGTAATTAAAGTTTCTCATTCTTAATAAATTTTGCCGTTACTGATAAAAAAAAGGAATGAGTTGTCATAAGTGGAAGAATCCATTAATATACTTACTAATAAAAAAAGAACCATAAATTCAAGTCCTTTCTCACCTGTCTTGCACAAACAATATGTATTGCAATCTAGCTTTATCTGATCTCTGCTTTCATCTGCATGATGCTTGCAATCCTACGAACATGCAAATCTCAGAAATAAATACATTGGAGAGTAGATACATTTGAACCAGAATATCACTAATGAGTAATAAATAGTCCAATAAATATAGAAAATGGTGATCAATATTTGACTGATGAAAACAGAAACAAGACAGAAGCAAAATAAGCCTAATGTGCATAAATTTTAACTCTTTCATATTTACCTCCCTCTAATGCCACACACAGTCTCAAGAATATCCATGATTTGTTGACACTTTGAATTTCTAGGCTTCTCCCCATTTTCCAGTACCAAGGTTGAGAGCCTTAAAACTGTGGCAAGTTCCAATTCAATTTTGTTGAACTGTTGGTCCAGATGTTCCAGGAAGTCCTCATAAGAGGATATTCCTTGCAAGCTACTAATCATGTCCTCTTTCTTCCAAATTCCAATACTAAGATTCCTTTCTTCATCATCCTCTTGCTGATGATTGACAGGCAGGTTTTCTTGGAACTCCTGAAACTGCAGCTCTTGATCCTCATTAAGGTTCATAGTAACTGGTTTGTAGTTGTCTTCATTGTCATCTGAACATTTTTCATCATCCTCCTTTGGGGAGATAATGCGAATCGGACCCAAATCATCTTTCTTGCCAATTTCAAGATCCAGGGCACAATTACCAATTAACTGTGTCTCCTTTAAAGAAATTGCCTGAAAACCATGTGAAACTTCTAAGTATACAATAAACTAAAAGTTTTTATTCTCAAACAAGGCCTGAGAGAAAAAAGAGAAACAAGTATTTCCATTACACTTTTTTTTATAAGGAAGAAGTCTCAAATAGATTGAAGAGGAAGGATGAAATAGAGCCAAGGCAAAGGATGAAGTCAAAGCCTATCATTTCGCAATACAAATAAAAAATGAAACAGTGCCAAGGCAGAGGATGTATTGACTATTGAAACCCCAAAAGAATTTAGATTTTCGGAAAGCTCAGAGAATATATGCTATCCATGCTAACCGGCTATATTCGTTTTTTTTTTGGTGTTGCGATGAGGACAGTTTCCTAGCAGACAATATTATTTGTTTCTTTTTTACTTTGAAAAGGATTATTTGTTTCTTTTCCCTTGCCTAGTTATCCGTGTTGTAACAAGTGACTGGTGTGGGACTTTTTTTTCTTTATATTTTAGATCTGTTTCTGTAGTGGGCCTGAAATTATTGGGCCTGGACTAGCCTTCTTATTTTTTTCTGAGTGTCTCATCACTAATCATCAGTCTTTTTATGTAATATTAGACACTTAGACACTTGGTATAAATTCTGTTCTAGGGCCAGCTGAGAACTTACTTGCCACCCATTCACTCTCTTCTTTCCTCTCTGTTTTCTCTTCCTCTTGCTCTAAGCACCACTGCAGGTTTGCAAACATGGTATCAGAGCACTGATGATCCAACTTCTGCAAGTTTCAACCTACTTCTTCTTCTCCTCTTTCTCCTATCTTCTTTTTGTTTTTTATTACTGATTAAGAAACCTTAATTCTGATCGTTGTACCCAAGGAAGTCTGTATCTAGGGTTTCTCTTTGGGAGTAGGGACCAAAGAGGAAGTTTCGACCTAGTTTATGCCCTACTAGATAGTGGAGACAGCCAGTAGCCATTCAGCTATTAGAGAGATCTATTTAGGGCAGATCTAGAAGGACTGAATAGACAGTCCTAGATTAGTTCTGGAACCAAGTTGCTGGTATAGACGATTGCTGCAGAAGGTCCTCTCAAGCTTCTGGAAGGTATAGGTGGTCTGAGAAGAGTGTTACAGCTGGGCTCTTGTTTCTGGTATGTTCTCTTTCACTTTGGGCTTGTGTTTCAGCAGTATATACATTGAATCTGGTGTAAAAACAGTAGCTAGTGTGTTAGTAGAAGGAAAAAATGCCTTCAGTTTCAGGAGAAGTGTCTTCTAAGGACAACCAACCTATTGGGAGGTCTCCCAATCTTGGTAACCCAAGTCTGCACAGCTTACAAATAACCAGTGTGCTGCTAGATGAGTACAATTTCAGCAAAATGGTCAGTCTTGACCAAGTCATTCATCACATCTTGGGATCTCATGGGGTATATTAATGGGAAAAAGAAGGAACCCAAGGAGGAAGATGCTGAATATGCAACCTGGTGTAGGGAAAATGCGACTGTTATGTCTTGGCTCCTTGCTTCCATGACTCTAAGAGTTGCAAGGACTATCCAACACTTCCCTATCACCTTTAAGATTTAGGAGAAGGTCTCTAAGATTTATGGGCAACGGAAGAATGCTAGAATCTACAAATTGACACAAGATATTGCTGTCCTAAAGCAAGGAGACATGTTTGTAGCCACCATAGTTGTCAAGGCGACGCCTAGGCAACAAGGCACCCTTTGAGGCTCGCCTCGCCTAATCGCCTAGCAGTTTTGTACTATGTATTGTAGAATACTTTTTTATTCTTTATTTTTTGACATTATAATTATAAAATAGGCACAATTAAACTAAAATACTCATTTTGTGTGTTTATATACTAATTTGTTTTTATTATTTTCTTATTTGTTAGGATTTAATCAATACAAACATTGCTAAATGCTGTATTGAACCCTCAAAGACTTTAAAACCTGAACCAATAAGTAAGGAAGAACTTAAAATTTTGTCTAATCAACACATTTTCTACTACAGTACTACTACTATAATCAACACTTTTTCTTTTCTTCTTTTCCTATAACAAAAATAAGGGTTCAGACCCTATATTTTTTGAATTTTCTTTTCCTTCTTTTTTTTTCTTCTCATGAATATGTTGATTTTCTATACTTTAACATGAACTCTATACTTTTATTATGAAAATTATGAATAATTATTAAGGAAATATGGCTATGGTACCTAGGGAACTACCATAGGATCTATATTTTCTATATAAAAGAGTCTAGGCAACAAGGTGCCCCCCTGATGTCCAGCCTCGCCTTGGCGCCTTGAAAACTATGGTAGCCACATACTTTGCTACATGGAGGGGCTGTTGGAAGAATTAGACCATCATCTTATAATTGACTGGGACAGCACAAAGGTCAAGGAGAAACATGACAAAAAAACAGAGGAAGGGCATTCAAGTTCCTAGCTGGGTTGGATCCCATATATGAACGTATAAGGTCACAGATATTAGAAAGGGATGAACTTCTAGACTTGAAACATGTATACTACCTTGTGAGGAATGAAGAGGGAAGAAGAAAGGAATTGCAAGTAGATACCCACTTGCAGCCACCTGTTAAACATTCAATATTAATTTCTTCTGGCCAAAAAGGGGAAAAAAGTTCTAACATAATGAATCTTAAACGTACTGGGGGCGAGAGACAAACCAATGAGACATGTTAGATTTTATATCCCCACTTGAAACCAGCTGCATTGAGGAAGGATAAGAAGCCACAGAGGAGTCAGACATTGAGTGTGAATATTGCCATGGGGAACAGTGTATAAAGTCAGAAGAAACATCCACGGTTTCTCCTCCAACAGGAAAAACCACTACTATTCCCTCAGAGTCTTTCTAGGATTTTACAACTAATGAGGTAGAAATTCTTAGCCGAGTTATGGCTCAGTTGAGGAACAATCCCTTTGCATCCTCCTCTCTAGCCAAGTCAGGTACTGTCTCTGCTCATAGTGTTATTGGCCCCATACCCTCTAATTCTTGGATTATTGATTCAGGAGCTACTAACCATATGACACATATGTCCTCTTTATTTTCCCCCTATCATTTGATGTCTAGTCAAGATAAGGTGAGAGTAGCTGATGGTTCCCTCTCTACTATCTCTAGAAAGGGGGAGGCAAACCTCAACAAGGATCTCTCCCTTAAGTTTGTTCTTCATGTTCCTAGTTTTGCTTCAAAATTTGTTATTTGTTTCTAACCTTACTAAAAATTTGAACTGTAGCATAACTTTCTTTCCTACTCACTATGTGTTTTAGAATAGATTGACAAGAACAGTTGGGAGGAGTCATGAGTCTGGAGTCTTCTATTATTTTGATGAACACATCAGCTCATCCCTACAATCATCTACTTTTCGTGGTCGGGATAACGAGGAGTCCATAGTTAGGTTACATTTGTGGCATGCTAGGCTAGGTCATCTGTCTTTTTCCTTGATGAAAAAGTTGTTTCCTGAGTTATTTCCATTTCAAGTCAGAGTTTGGTTTGTGAAGTGTGTCAGATGTCAAAGCAATGTAGAACCATTTTTCCAATTTCAAGTAATGAAATTCAAGCTCCTTCTGATTTAGTCCATTCTAATGTTTGGGGTCCTTGACCCCTTGTTTCTATAGATAGCTTCTAATATTTTATTCGCTTCATTGATCACTATTCCTGGTGCACATGGATTTATTTATTAAAGGCCATGATGAAGTACTGCAAATAACTATGATATTTTATAAAATGATTGAGACTTAGTTTGGCAAGAAGATCAAACAGTTTTGTTCAGATAATGTTGAGTGTTTTGAAAGCTCTTTAAATGTGTTCATGGAGGAAGCAAGTGTCTTGCATCAATCATCTTATGTTAGTACTCCTCAACAAAATGGAGTTGTAGAACACAAGAACAGATACTTATTAGAGATAGCTTGAGACCTATTATTTCAGCACAAAGTGCCCAAGAACTATTGGTCTCAAGTAGTTCTTATAGCCTCATATCCGATAAATAGGATGTCATCTAGTGTGTTTGGTATGAGAACTTCTTTTTCTGTCCTTTTTCCTACTCTTGATGATTTTCCCCTTCCTCCTAGAGTCTTTGGTTGTGTATGTTTCATCCATGTTAAGGATCCTAAGAAAACAAAGTTGGATCCTAAGGCTATGCGGGATGTCTTCTTGGGTATTCCCCTACACAAAAGGGCTATAAGTGCTATGATCCAAATACCCAATTACCAAGAAAAAGTATGTCACCAAGGATGAGATCTTTTTCAAGTCTCAATCTTTCTTTCAATTTCCTAGGAATCCTCTTCAGGGGGAGACTAGTAGGGTTGAAGAGGATCCCTCCACTTCTAGTCTTCCATCTTCTCCTCCTAATCCTCCTAGTTCTAGCTGTCTAGGTGAATCTGGTGAGATTCCTACTGACCCTATTATTACTCCAGATGTAGGAGATGGGGCTCATGGTGATGATACTAATCTTGAACAACAAAAAGAAATGAGAACCTTCTATAGGAAGAGGATGAGGGAGCCTCTAGCTTGTAATAGCAACCAACTGGACCCAAATCAATCTGCCCTAACGCCTAGGTAACCCCATTCCTAATTTCTTACACCTATTTCTGGTTTGGATCTTCCCATTTCTCTTCACAAGCCTGTTTGTTCTTGTACTACTCAACACCCTATTGCTAAATATGTTTCTTATTCTTGTTTATCCCTCCCCCCTATTACTCTTTTGTGTCTGCTCTTTCTTCTGCCCATGTTCCCATCAGGTAGTCTGGAGCTATATCTGGTCTAAAATCGAGAGAGGCAATGAATGAGGAAATTAGAGCCTTGGTGAAAACCGAAACTTGGGAATTAGTGGATCTACCAAAAGGCAAGAACATTGTGGGGTGTAAGTGGGTGTTTACTATGAAACATAAGGCAGATGGTTGGATTGAGAGATATAAGGCTAGGCTAGTGGCAAAAGGGTTTACACAGGAGGGGATTGACTACAAGGAGACTTTTGTAACAGTTGCCAAGCACAACACGATTCGGGTTCTATTGTCCTTAGCTGCAAATTTCTCT